TATCTATCTATCTATCTATCTATCTATCTATCTATCTATCTATCTATACATACATACATATAATTTTTTCCCTCCAACTGCCCTAAAACTGACAAAGGTCTCATAAGTTACAAATATCATCTTTCCATACAGGAATGTGAACAGTTCAACCTTAATAAGTCTCGTATGATTTCTCTTTCCTGTTTACCTCTTCATTTTCCACTTGAGTCTTGTATTAGAAAGTCAAATTTTCTATTCAGCTCTGGTCTTTTCATCAAGAATGCTTGAAAGTCCTCTATTTCACTGAATGACCATTTTTTCCCCTGAAGAATTAGACTCAGTTTTGCTGGGTAGGTTATTCTTGATTGTAATCCTATCTGCTTTGCCCTCCAGAATATTATACTCCAGGCTCTGCGGTCCCTTAATGTAGAAGCAGCTAAATTTTGTGTTATCCTGATTGTGTTTCCACAATACTTGAATTGTTTCTTTCTGGCTGCTTGTAATATTTTCTCCTTGACCTGGGAACTCTGGAATTTGGCTACAATATTTCTAGGAGTTTTCCTTTGGGGATCTCTTTCAGGAGGAGATCAGTGGATTCTTTCAATTTCTATTTTGCCCTCTGGTTCTAAAACATCAGGGCAGTTTTCCTTGATCATTTCTTGAAGGATGATGTCTAGGCTCTTTTTTTGGTCATGGCTTTCAGATAGTCCAACAATTTTTAAATTCTCTCTCCTGGATCTATTTTCCAGGTGAGTTGTTTTTCCAATGAGATATTTCACATTGTTTTCTAATTTTTCATTCTTTTGGATTTGTTTTACAGTGTCTTGATTTCTCATAAAGTCACTAGCTTCCAATTGCTCTATTCTAATTTTGAAGGAAGTATTTTCTTCAGTAATCTTTTGGACTTCCTTTTCCATTTGGCCAATTTTGCTTTTTAGAGCATCCTTCTCCTCATTGGCTTTTTGGACCTCTTTAGCTATTTGGGTTAGGCTATTTTTTAAGGTGTTATTTTCTTCAGTATTTTTTGGGGTCTCCTTTAGCAAGCTGTTAACTTGCTTTTCATGATTTTCTCGTATCACTCTCATTTTTCTTCCCCGTTTTTCCTCTACTTCTCTTACTTGCTTCTCAAAATCCCTTTTGAGATCTTCCAAGGCCTGGGACTGATTCATATTTTTCTTGGAAGTTTTGGATGTGGGAGCTTTGACTTTGTTTTCTTCTTCTGGTTGTATATTTTGATCTTCTTTGTCACCAAAGTAAGATAATATAGTCTGACTCTTTTTGCGCTGCTTGCTCATGATCCCAACCAATTACTTGAGTTTTAAACTCTTTGTTAAGGTAAAAGTCTGTTTCCAATGTGGAGAATGTACTGTCTCAAGCTTTGGGGGTTTGTACAGCTGTTTTCAGAGATGCTTCTAAGGACCTGAAAAGTGTCAGTTCTTCCAAGTCGCTGTGATAAGGGGTGAGATATTTCCTCTCCACAGCCACAACAAGCTCAACCACACCAGCACTCCTCCTTACCCCAGGACTGCCCCTCAGAACTGTGACCCAGATCCAAGCATGGGAAAAGCAAGAGATTTCTGCCTCAGCACTGGCAAAGAGACTCCTGCAATCCCCCTCTGATCAGCTACTTGATTCCACTTCAGTCTGTGGGCCGGAAGTTCAGAAGCCAGCCGCTGCCCTCGGGGTGGCTGAGACCTAGCTTCTTCTCTCACTGCAGTCACAGACTTTTCCCACTGACCTTCTAAGTTGTCTTTGGCATTCGTGGGTTGGGAAGTTTGGAAACCACCACAACTGCCCATGATTCAGTCCTCTGAGGCCTGCTCCAGGGTCGCTGCGGCCTGGGCGCCCATGCCAAACTGAGCTCCTCTCCCAGCCCGGCGCGATATACCTTTCCAATCAGCCATCCAGGTTGTCTTGGACTGGAAATTTGTTTTACTTTGTTTTTTTTTTTTGTGGGTTCTGCTGCTTTAGAATTTGTTTAGAGCCATTTTTGGTAGGTATTTGGAGGGGTTTGGGGGAGAGCACTAGAAAGTCACTACTTTCCCTCTGCCATCTTGGCTCCACCCCCTATACTCCTTCCTTTTAAGTTACTGGCTGATCTAAAGTTATCTAGTTTCTTCAAAGAATAGAATACTGGGTATGGAATTAGGAAGACCTGAGTTCAAATCTAGACTCAGACATTGGCTAGCTGAATGATGCTGGACAATTTATTGAACCTGTCTATCTCAGTTTCCTCATGCTTAATATAGAGATAATAATAACACCTATTTCCCAGGGCTGTTGTAAGGATCAACTGAGATAATATTTATTTATTTATTTGTTTGTTTGTTTGTTTATTTATTTATTTATTTTTGTCTAGGCAATGGGGTTAAGTGACTTGCCCAGGGTCACATAGCTAGTAAGTGTCATATGTCTGAGGCTGGATTTGAACTCGAGTCCTCCTGACTCCAGGGCTGGTGCTCTATGCACTGCACCACCTAGCCGCCCCATGAGATAACATTTGTAAAACATGTTGCAAAGTTTAAAGTGCTGTATAACTAGTTATCAGTTATTAATTTCCTTTGACCCTTCTCCAGAACCCACAGGAAACTCACATACTCTTTTTCCTATGATAAGTTTCTTTTTCAAAGTTGTCACAAAATAATGGAACC